CCCCAGAATCTTCCCAGAATTCCCCCCAGCCAGCATGCCCCCCCCCCCGATGAAGGGAGCTGCTGATGCTTATGAAAGTAGCCACCTCTGAATCAGAGGCTTTAGTGGTTTATTCGACCGCCCTGATTAATAAAAACGGTGTTTTTCAAACTTGGCCACTGGAAGCTTTGCGGGGGGGATGGGACTTCAACTCCCAGAATTCCCCATAATCTTCCCAGAATTCCCCCCAGCCAGCATGCCCCCCCCCCGATGAAGGGAGCTGCTGATGCTTATGAAAGTAGCCACCTCTGAATCAGAGGCCTTAGTGGTTTATTCGACCGCCCTGATTAATAAAAACGGTGTTTTTCAAACTTGGCCATCGGAAGCTGGGGAGGGCGTGTGTGTGTGTGGGGGGGGGGAGATTCTGGGAGTTGAAGCCCACCCGCACCTTCCAGTTGTCGACTTTGGACAACAATGGACCGCCGCCATTTTAAAAGTACTCTTTTTGTGGTCTGAGATGGTGATGGGGAGGGGATCAGGGCAAGCGGGGGTGGGGGGGGAGGATGGTCTTGGATGGATAGGGGAGGGGCTTCGGTTTTTCCTCCTGGGATGCTGCCCCGTGCGTGTGTGTGTGTGTGTGTGCGTGTGTGTTTGGGTAAATCTTCTTTCTATTTCCAGCTCTTCTCCTTCTTCTTCTTCCAGTGCTCCATATCACCCAGACTCAGATGGTCATGCTGGAAAAGAATTCCAGGTCTTTGCACTGCGAAATTATCGAACTGAAGAGCAACGGTAAAAAATCAGACCGGCCCGGATGGTCTTTATTTTATGATTCCTCTCCTCTCTTCTTCTCTTCCCTCTCCCCTCCCTTCCCCTTCATTTCTTCTCTTTTCTCATCTGTTCTTCTCTTCATCTCTTCTCTTATTTTTTCCTCCCCTCCCCCCTCTTGTATTCTTTATTCTCTTTATCTTCTATATCTCTTTATCTTCTATCTATCTATCTATCTTCTCTTTCTGTCCGTCCATCTATCTCTTCTATTTATAACTTCTATCATTTGTCTGTCTGTCTGTCTGTCTATCTATCTATCTATCTATCTATCTATCTATCTATCTATGCCTCTATGATAGACAGATAGATCATCTATCTATCATCTATCTATCTTCTATCATCTTTCTATCTATCATCTATCTTCTATCTATCCTCTATCTATCCTCTATCCTCTATCTATCCTCTATCTTCTATCATCTTTCTATCTATCATCTATCTTCTATCTATCCTCTATCTATCCCCTATCATCTATCT